AGATGCAGAGTGGACTGACAGTCTGAATGGCCACGCTCCTCTCTGCCCGGCAGTGATTCCTCCATTTATCTTCTATAATGAATTGACAATCACACTCCCTCTGATGTTTACACAGAGATATTGAGCCATCCTAAAACGTGGCTGCTTAAAGAAACCACACACACTGAGCTGACTACACAACTTCACATCACGTGCAGACACAGTCATACACATGTATGGAGCGAAGCAGTCAATTCACGGGTCAATTACTTTCAGTCCAAATGATGATGACATTATCAAACAATTTATTTGTGGTGTGATCCCTGTGGCCTGCAATCCATTATGCAATTTCCCTGCAATTGCATTTTTGAGTGATTAAACCACTGCTCTATAATTATTCATTAATGCAGAACAACTGCAGGAAGTGGATAAATTAATAAGATATAAAAAACCTTAATGTGTTTTCTGCAGTTCAGGAAGCAGGCATAAATGTTATGCAAATCTGCTCTGATTGTTTCAAATTATATGAGGTGGAAATGGTTTTGTCTGTGATTTAGAAAAACATATTTTCAAATAATGTTTTACTTCATTGAAAACTATAACCTCTAAAATAAGTTCAAAATCAACACAAAAAAAAAGCCCCGACAGCCAAACAGAAACAAAGTATCTGCTAGTACACCTACACTCTGAAGAGAAGGTGCAAAACTGAAAGAAAACAGTGCACACATGCCGTCTACTTGGCCATGGAGATTGTACATCTTAGTAGAAAAACTGCTAAAACCCACACACAGGTGGCTGTCTTTTTACAACTCTTTATTGCCATACCATAGTGGCACCTTCATAACCAAAACAATCTACCATTACATTTTCTTTCAAAAGCCCTGGTTTTGAAGTTTTATTTTTAGGACGACTCCAGTACCATTAACAGCTACACACTCACTAATTAACTTTCAAAATGTTCATGAACCACTTGTGTTTAAAACTAACAAGGCCAAAAACAAAGAAATAATTTATGCAGTGCATTATGCAAGTGATTCTCTGAATATAAAATTAGTCATTACACTCCAGAGATCCTCTGAAGAGTCATACATTTGAGAGTGTATCATCCCTCTGCAATCTTTTTAATGAATAGACACCACAAACAGTAAAGACTGAACACAGCACCTCACATGATTATACTATGATCTGTCCGCACGCACGCACGCACGCACGCACGCACGCACGCACGCACGCACGCACGCACGCACGCGCACACGACCCTATGAAAACACCAACACAAGCATCCCCCAGGCACCGGCTCTGTTCCCCATGTCCTCCCCCCTTCCCTTCCCTCCTCCCTCACCTCACCCAATCCCCCGAGGTGGATTAAATACAATCACACCTGTGATCATTTCTCATTTGTGACGTCTCCAACACCAGTGGTCCAAAGGGACGCCATGCACCAGCCAACAGCACCGCAGCTGTGAATTACTGTTTTGCTGGCTTTGTAAATGCTCTAAAACATCCATAGATTATTTGTGGTCATGTAAATACTTATCATGTAAACAGGAAACGCAGGTACACAATAAAGCTCTATTAGTCACAAGGTGCGTTCTCTTCGCATGAGGAACTTTGTGCAGTTTATAGATTACATTCTTCCAGGAAGATAATCCCTCATCAGAGATCCCAAATACACACACAGCAAAAGTAATGATAAATAAAGAAGGGCTTTTTTTCTTTTACTATTAAAGCTACACTCGGGTGGTTTTCATGTTAATAATTACAAGACTGATTTAAAAAGGAGGCTTCAACATAGTACCTGTACCATAATCAACACATTCATTAAATATTCTAAAATGTCATGCTATGAACGCTAGTACAACATTTTGCAGACATGAGTGATTGAAAAAGTTGCCACCAAAAAATGTTCACTCAGGTCAAAAGTCTGTTTTGCCTTTTAACGTTTTCGCAGTCTTTAGAAGTTAGTGGTACTACTACAGAAAAAATGAACTTATATTACATTACAAAGTTCATTAAACATTACACACACACACACACACACACACACACACACACACACACACACACACACACACACACACACACACACACACACACACACACACTAACCTGAAGTGTTGGATGTGTTCTGTCCATATCCCCCCATGTAAGGACCCACACCTGGTCATGTGACTTGTCATAGAGCATCTTCACTGGAAAAGAATCTGTTGTTACTGCCTAGAAGAGATGGGCAGAAAAGGAAGGACAATATTTAATTGATATATTGAAGGTTTACTAGGCTAATCAATGATATATAATAACAACACAAATTCCACATGTAAGTAAGATCATTTTTTCTCGAGATATCAGGCATAATGGCCTTTTTACAGATACTGTACTAAACTAAATTATTGGCTATGTTGACCCATAAATACTATTACATTTGTCAACAAAATGTCAAACTTAGAGGATCCTTTTTATTAATCATAAAAAATAAATAAAACTTTATTCTCAGTGTATTACCAGTGTATTGCTTAGTAATGATGCTCTTGGAATCGTATTGGAGCTGACTGTGGAATCAGAAAATATTGTATAACAACCAGTACCTCGAAGATCGTTTTGTTAACGCTGCAAATCACAAAAAGTGCCACCATCCCATTTCACAAAGGACTCATTTGAAAATAAATCTGCAGCTTGCTAAAGTCCCATTGCCTACTTATGAATAGGTCATACAGTCCTTAATCAAAATTAAGAGGTTTTTTCTCTATGATGCAGATGTTGAAGTGAAGGAAAACGTTTTTTTCAGCATGTGTAAGAACAGAAAGAACACAAAATAGAGGAACGAATGGAACAGGCAGAAAAAAGAGAGATGAGGGGGGTGGAGTGTGTTCAACCTCAGGTCTGCTGCAATGTCAACAACGAGAAATAACACAATCTATTACCCTGCTTCTGGCTGGCGGACAGGGAGCTGCTGACACCCTCACCAGTGGAGCGAGACCACCAGCTCTGTGTTCAGTAATGGTAGGTCCGGCCCTCCACTCTGCACCGGCCAGCCCAGTGTCAACTCAGCATGTGTGCATGTACACTATGTGTGGACTGCCTGTCGGAATTTACTGGTAATAAAGCTTTTTTCTGTTGCTGCTCCCGGGCTCTGGTATAGACTCCTGTTCCACCATTGACAATTTTAAGTCACATTTTAAGTCCTATCTTTTTTTGCTTGCTTTTAGTTTAGTTTGATGGCAACATACGGCTTTGACCAATCCCCTCAGTTCACTTCCATTTGCTCCTAATTTGGTTTATTTATTTATGTCAAGACTTTTTATTTAGTGTCTATCTTTGTTTATTGGTGCAAAGGATGTTATTTTTCAAGTGTTTTTTATGTTGTATTTAAAGTCTCTATTACAATTTATTTTACTACATTTTGTCAAAAATAAAGGTTGAATAATGCATTTCTAAAAATAGTCTTCTGTAGGTTCAAAGGGTTAAGAAGACAGCGATGGATCTCATATCTCGAGAGTTGGCCTTGCCCGTTGTGTCACTTCAATTTAATTGAATTTAAACATTTATACATACTGTACTATCATATGAAGGTTTCAAGCTGAGTCAGCAACTCTACTGAGTTGAACATATTAAAAGCTTAATATAACTTGGTAAAGGGTTTCAAATCTTTCAGATTCAATAAAATGCTATCAAACCTGAAGTCAAAAACAGAAAACTAAGTATTTATTACTTTATTAATAAAACACAGATAAAAAATACAAATTGGTGTCATACAGGTAGATGCATGCATAGATTCACAATATTGTCCTTCAGGAAAAAGGAATATCTTAAACGTTGCTAAAGGATGCTCACTGAGTCTGAGAAAAGAAAAAGCATAACTACAACCTAAAACATGACTACAAACAAAGCCATTGTAAGGTGTTTATGTTACTAGATCACCCAAGGTCTTGGCTATGTTCTTTTTAAGTAGCCGAAATGCCGTTGTTTTCACGTGCAATGTGAGGCTGACCCAGCACAGGTCTGGAACATCAGAGTCAAGGTTAGATCCCTTTGTTTGAGAAAAGTGGACAATTCCCTTGCATGCAACAGGATGAAAACACTTGAAAGCCTTCATTAGTGCAGCTTCTCCACATGTTTACTGCCTTCATAGTGTCTGCTGGAAATCACGAAAGGATGTAACACATTCCTAAAGGTGACATTGTATTAAAGCAGATGTGTCAAACTCAAGGCCGGGGGCCAAATCAGGCCCTTGGTGGATTTCATTTTGAATTACTATTAGATCTGGCCCGCCGGTATATTGCACGCACACCTTCACTCAATCCTGAGGGTTTCCTCAGCTCAGAGCCTGAGCCCAAACATTGATGAACTTGCACCCAAGATGAGATGCCAAGTATTGGCTTGAACTAGCATCACAGCAGCAAACTGAGTTTCAATGGATGTTTCCTTCTGCACTTTTTTCTTGCGACAACACGGCATGTTTTTTTTTTTTCTTTGAGGAAAATTGTTTTTTGAAGCTGTTGAAAAATGTAATAATAAGAATTGACTATGGAAAAGCCGCAGATGGAGCCATAAGAAATTAATGCAACNGGGGCCACATAATGTATGTACCACCAGGGGGCCGCAGATTCACTTGGATCACACACACACCATCATCTGATTTGAAATAAACAAAGTCTTGGTTTTTAGAATATTCTAAAAACCAAGACTTTGTTTATTTCAAATCAGATGATGGTGTGTGTGTGATCCAAGTGAATCTGCGGCCCCCTGGTGGTACATACATTATGTGGCCCCCACCACCATCCAAGTTGCCCATCCCTGACCTAGATATTAACGTTGGTTGTATCAAAGTTAGATTCCTTTTCAATAGTAAAGTACAAGTACCTCTAAATAGTACTTAAGTACAGTACTTGAGTAAATGTACTTAGTTACTTCTCGCCTCTGCTATTAACCTAAGACGTAGCTGTAGATTTGTTTTGTTGTATCTGTCGGTTGTATTGAGTTGTCTTGTTTTGTGTCAGCTGTAGTTGTGTTGATTATTTCAGAGACACCGCCGGAGAAGGAGCACTGAGAGCAGCATGGAGGAGAACAAAAAGACCCCTGGAGCTCAGGTCAGTGTGCACTTCATCACAATATATTCCTAACACTCTTATCCCCAAATTAAAGATCACAACCTGTTTAGAAAATAAAATATTAATGCACAATATGGTTATATATAGGATAGAACATTACTACTTAGAACGTTGCTGTATTTCTTATTTTTTCTAAA